GTCGAAACAATAGAAAACAACGGAGAAGAGACACAACACAATGCATGCACTTCTATACCGCAAAAAGCTACAGGAAAAAAACTACAACATTGTCTTTAAAACAAACATGTTGTGATAACAGATTTAATGTTATACTTTCGCCACAGGCCAATAGGTACGGCATCTCCTTCTTCGTCATGAATTTTGTCTTGCTTTTCTTCGTTGCATTTTTTCCCTCATCTTTTACTTCACATGCGCCTTCTTCTCCTTATTCATCTTCGATTCCTTTTTATAACTTTTTTAAAATCATTTCCTTTCCTCCTTATGTTAAATTTTTCTTGTCATGCTACTCGTTTCTTATCCTTTTCTTCTTTTTCTATATCTCTTCTTTTTTTCCTCCAAATCCTTCGTTGCGTGTGCCTCTTTCGGGTCATTCTCCTTCTTCGCATCTCCATCGATTTTCCATCCTTCTCCTTTCCTTCTTATCCCTCTTTTTCCTCCTTTTCGTTCTTTACATTTTCAGCTTCATATTCTTGCTTTTTCTTTCCTTCTCTTCACCGCCATCTTCTTCTTCCTAAATCCCTATATAAGAAATAGAAAAAGTATAAAAGTGCTTCATGTCCTGTTTACCACTCTTTCCGGTCTCCTGGAAAGACGTTGAGGACAGACCAAAGAAAATATATTTAATTAAACATAATTATTCCATGCAATTATTCCAAAGATATGAAGGCGGGTTTTTCTAGGAGCAAAACAAGAGTCAAGAAAGTGGTACTTGACAACATTTTCGATGAAATGAAAGTCATATATATATATCCGCGAAAAAGGATGATTCTGATCATATGGATAAACGGCGTACATATATAATAAATTGGGAGAATACGTAGTAAAATCGGAGGTGTACCACTGTTTGAAGGAATTCAACTACTAATTTAAATGAGCTGGATTTAATTCTCTGGACCTACCAGGAGATAAAATACTATTTGGTTCTCCTTGATACTACACTGGGAGAATCAACCACTAATTTCGGCAGTCCGAA